TTTTTTTACAGCACTTCGTATTTGGTGTTTGTACACTTATTGACGTCATGGTTCCCGACGTGCCTCAGGGGCTGCAAGAAACCATTAAGAGAGAGAAATACCTAGCTACCCAGGCCCTCGCTTCACACCACGGCCTGCTACAAGGCAACGACGATGACTTCAATGATGACACATTAGTTAATATTGCATAATAATAATATTGCATTTAACCTTTCAAAGTGGACGGTTAACGCAGGTTGACCGCTGAATAGAGGTTGAACAGAGAAATGGGTGACCTTGTAATAAGAGACACATGTAAAGTACGAGTTGTACAAGATGCACATGGAAAAATGCTAATACTGAATGGCATAAAATTCAACTTTCTCTGATTATAGGTGATTTGTATAGTATGGCTTCATTAACTACAACTACCAGAATGCTTTGCCCACTTTCTTTTGTTATGCAATTAGTGCCAATAGGCAATGTGCAGCGACGCCATTTTGTGCAGCAAAGCATGATGGTAGTTGTAGTTCTCTTATTTTTTTTTATGTCTGCTAAACAAATCCTCTTAACCAGTATTTTTTTTTCTTTTCCTAAGCGAAAATAGAAGTATTTATACCATTTATAAAAAGAAAATGTAAAAACGGCTTTAAGGAGATATTTTAGGGCTATGAAAAGTGCGAGGACTCATACAACTACCATCATGCTGCTTTGCTGTACAAAATGGAGTCACTGGACATAGCATTGTTTACTAATCTCCAAAGGAATTAAAAATCTACACAAGACTTTCTGGTATTTAAAGTAACGCCATGGATGGCCTGTTATAAGCTTTAATATTCCAATGTTAGTTTTAAAACACCAATGAAATGCGATTTCCCAAAGCTGAATAGCTATAATAACTAAATGATGGTTGTAGATGTAAAATATGTTCATTTTTTTTAATAACATCTAAAAATGGCTTTAATGGCCGTGTAGCCTAATGACCTTATATGTATTTTGACGAAGTGCATCATGGTAATGATTAAAGTATCAATAAAAATTAATGGGGGTAAAGCTGAACGAATTGATCATTCAACCATTCCCATGAGATTCAAAAGATAAATGAACCGCGGCCATGTTGGAGGAATGGACTGTAGATTCTACTGAGAAATCCTTTGTAAAAGTTCCTCCAAGATGGCCGCTGTGATGTAGCTTGAAAACAAGAATTGYGGCTTTTTCAAAGCATGGACTCTTCGCATGTGATGTCAAAGCGGCTTCATCTGGAGGACAAAAACAATTTTTGCCCTCATTGGGAACTAGAATCTATTGTTTTGTCCTAGTCAAAGTTAAAGCTGTACCACAATATCCACGATGCACAATTTGTTTGTTATACAAATTAGCCTTTTTAATGATTTTAAAAGGGTGAAGCAACTAAAAATATCAAGAGTAAGACCATTCTTTATTTATTGATTAGAGAAATAAGGGCGACATTTCTGTATACAAAAACCTTCTGTTTGTCTGTAGTAAATATGACATTTAGCCTGCTAACAGACGTTCCTGAAATATGAACATACCTGGAATCAAAAAGGTTTTTTTGTACTCTGAGCTAGCTTAATGTACCACAGGCAGCCCACCCTTTAGGAATTTGATTATATTTGATTATATTATATTTGTACACGGGATCGTGACGTATACCACAGGTAACCCACAAATTTAAAGCGTGCGCAACCATGAATCAAGAAAAATGTGCGGGCTTGCATTTTTTTCGCTTTGTTTGGAGTTTTTTTCTAATTAAAAAATCAACAAGGGGTGGGATGCCTGTGGTGGTATATGTTTTATAAAACAAAAACAAACACAATTCGGTTTGAAAAGTAAATAACAAGCGACTGGAATTGTTTGATGGGACACGCGAGCGAAGTGTTTATGCTACTATGAATGGAATATCTCCATTTGCAGGAAAGTACTTTAAGCAAGAATGGTGCTGTGGGTTCTCACATGACCTAAAACTGCTAGCTTTATAATGACTATAGCTGTGCTTCAGTCCTGTCATTCGCCAAGACTTTGAATGTTTCAAAATGTGTGCTCCATACCGATTTCTTACAAACAAACCAGGACTAAACACTGTCTTTACCCACGTTCCTCTCACAAGAGTCAATGTAAAGTTTTTCTGTAGATCTTTTGGTAGAAACTGCGGACAAGTTAAAAGGGGTCTTCCCCAAACTTCAATGCCAATTCCCGAGTTCGCTATATTTGCATAGCCATCGTACGAGTCCGTAACTTTAAATGAAGGCTGCTCATA